TTGAACCTCCAAAATAACCCAAAATGACCCAAAATCAGCCTGAAAACTTCAGAATTACCTAAAATGACCCAAAATCAGTTCTGAAAACCCCAAAATGAGCCAAAATGTCCCAAAATGATCTCTAAAGCCCCAAATGACCCAAAATTACCCAAAAATCAGCCTTGGAACCCCAAAATGCCCCAAAATGACCCAAAAACAGCCTGAAAACTTCAGAATGACCCAAAATGACCCAAAATCAGCCTTGGAACCCCAAAATGACCTAAAATGACCCAAAATACTTAAAAATCAGCCTTGATCTCCCAAAATGTCCCAAAATGACCCAAAATGACCCAAAATGTCCCAAAATGTTCCAAAATGACCCAAAATTAGTTCTGAAGCCCCAAATGTCCCAAAATGTTCCAAAATGACCCAAAATTCGCCCTGAAAATCCCAAAATGACCCAAAATCAGACTTGAAACCCCAAAATGACCCAAAATGACCCAAAATCAGCCTGAAAACTTCAGAATGACCCAAAATGACCCAAAATACTTAAAAATCAGCCTTGATCTCCCAAAATGTCCCAAAATGACCCAAAATGTCCCAAAATGACCCAAAATATCCCAAAATTAGTTCTGAAGCCCCAAATGTCCCAAAATGACCCAAAATGACCCAAAATCAGACTTGGAACCCCAAAATGTCCCAAAATGACCCAAAATGTCCCAAAATGTTCCAAAATGTCCCAAAATGAGCTCTGAAGCCCCAAATGTCCCAAAATGACCCAAAATTACCCAAAATTACCCAAAATGTCCCAAAATGACCCAAAATATCCCAAAATTAGTTCTGAAGCCCCAAATGTCCCAAAATGACCCAAAATCAGCCCCAAAACCCCCAAATTTCCCCCAAACCGCGCTGGGCCCCCACCAGATGCACCCGGGAGCCACCGAGAACTTCACCTGGGGCCCCCAGGTGTGCCCAGGTGTGCCCAGGTGTGCCCCAGGTGTGCCCCAGGTGTGCCCGAGGTAACTCAGGTGTGCCCCAGGTGTGCCCAGGTGTGCCCAGGTGTGCCCCAGGTGTGCCCCAGGTGTGCCCCAGGTAACTCAGGTGTGCCCCAGGTGTGTCCAGCTGTGTTTTAGGTGCCCCCAGCTATGCCCAGGTGTATCTCAGGTGTGCTGAGGTGCCCCCAGGTGTGCCCAGGTGTGTTTCAGGTGCCCTGGGTGTGCCCCAGGTGTGCCCAGGTGTATCTCAGGTGTGCCCAGGTAACCCCAGGTGCCCCCAGCTGTGCCCCAGGTGTATCTCAGGTGCCCCCAGGTGTGTTTCAGGTGAACCCAGGTGTATCTCAGGTGTTCCAGGTGTGCCCAGGTGTATCTCAGGTGTGTTTCAGGTGCCCCCAGGTGTGCCCAGTTGTGCCCTGGGTGTGCCCCAGGTGTATCTCAGGTGCCCCCAGGTGTGCCCAAGGCAACTCAGGTGTGCCCCAGGTGCCCCCAGCCGTGCTCAGGTGTGTTTTAGGTGCCCCCAGGTGCCCCCAGGTGTATGTCAGGTGTGCCCAGGTGTGCCCAGGTGTATCTCAGGTCCCCCCAGGTGTCCCCAGGTGTGTTTTAGGTGCCCCCAGGTGTGCCCAGGTGTCCTTCCAGGTGTGCCCAGGTGTGCCCAGGTGCCCCCAGGTGCCCCCAGGTGTATCTCAGGTGTGCCCAGGTGCCCCCAGGTAACCCCAGGTGTCCCCAGGTGTATCTCAGGTGCCCCCAGGTGCCCCCAGGTGCCCCCAGGTGTGCCCAGGTGTCCTTCCAGGTGTTCCCAGGTGTGCCCAGGTGCCCCCAGGTGCCCCCAGGTGTGCCCAGGTGTATGTCAGGTGCCCCCAGGCGTGCCCAGGCGTGCCCAGGCGTGCCCAGGTGTGCCCAGGTGTGCCCAGGTGTGCCCGCCGTGTTGCAGGTGCGCTGCCCATGGAGGAGCTGCTGCAGCGTTACCGCGGCGCCTTCGCCGACTCCGACTGCGACTCGGGGCCCGGCGCCAGCAGCACGCGCTCAGGTGAGCCGGGCACGCGTGAACACGCGTGTGCGCACGTGTGTGTGTGTGCAGGTGTGTCTGTACAGGTGTGGGTGTGTACAGGTGTGTGTG